TGCTCCAAGAAAACAGTGTGCTGTTGTTATCTATGGAAAACAGAGTTCTTTAAGTCCTTCACCTGCCTAACTGAAATTCTGGAGACTTTGATCAGCACTTGCTCTCTCCGCCCGCTTCCCACCGCGGCCCCTGCACCTGCCCGGCCACCGTTCTGCACCCTGCCCCTGCCCGGCCAGCGTTTGCAGATTCCACCTGTTGTGGACGACAGCCCTTTATCAAATGTCTTTTGCAAATATTTCTTTACGCTCTGAGGCTTGACTTCTTATCCTGTTGACGGTGTCTTTGGCAAAGTGGAAGTTTTTCATTTTAATGGAGTCCAATTTAGTAATCGTTTCTTTCTTGGATCATGCCTTTGTGTTACTGGTAAAAGTCCTAGCCAAACCCAAGGCCATCTAGATTTTTTCCTGAGCTATCTTCTGGGAGTTTTATAGATTTGCATTTTACATTTAGGTTTATAATGCACTGAGATAGTATTTTTTAAAAGATTTACTTATTTATTTGAGAGGCAGAGTTACAGACAGAGAGAGGGAGAAAGAGAGAGAGTGCGCACGAAGCGATCTTCATCCACTGGTTCACTCCCCAAATGGCTGAAATAGCTGAAGATGGGCTGACCTGAAGCCAGGAGCCAGGCGCTTCTTCTAGCTCTCCCACTGTGGGTGCAGGGGCCCAAGCACTCGGGCCACCCTGTGCTGCTTTCCCAGGCCATTAGCAGGGAGCTGGATGGGAAGAGGAGCAGCCAGGACACAAACCCGTGCTTATATGGGATGCTGGTGCTGCAGGCAGGTGGAGGCTTAACCTACTATGCCACAGCGCCAGGCCCTCAGCTAATTTTTGTGAAGAGTGTAAGGTCTGTGTCTGGAATATTTTGGTATTTTTGTCCAGTAATTCCATCATTTCTTGAAAAGATGCTGCTTTCTCCATCAACCTGCTTTGCTCATTTGTCAAAAATTAGTTGACTGCGGACGCATCCATGAAGGATCAGAGTGTTCTTGTCACTGGGTACAGGGCCGTCTAAGGATGGCAGATTCTCACCATGCACAGCTTCACTCTCCCTGATTCTAGCCACTCTTAGAAAACACTCTGCTATGTTCTGTTTCAAGGCTAAGTCCTTGGCTTCCCCTCTCCCCCATGCAAGCAGCCGGGGCCGAGCAAGCCAGTCAGAGAGAGGCTCATCTCTGCACCTGCAGCCTCTCCCGAGGGGCCCAGCTGCAATGCCGTGGCAAGCTCGGCGCCTGGCTGAGCAGTCTGGGACTGTATCAGAGCCACCCGCAGATGCGCTGTCCTGCCGCATCTTCCGGGAAACCAGCCCCCTTCTCTGCACCGCTAACCCAGACGTCCTCAGCAAGCAGGCGGTCGGTCCTGCTTCAGGCTGCTGATCTGCTGTGGTCCTCGTCTATTAACAGAATAAACTGCCTCGCTCCTTCACCCCCAGACCTTGCCCTCGTTATATTTTTTTTCAGATTTATTTATTTTTATTTGAAAATCAGTTACAGAGAGGCAGAGGGGGAGGGGTGATTTTCCATTCACTGGTTCACTCCCCAAATGGCCAGGTCACCACCATGCGCTCTTGAGTTTGTCCTTGAGTTAGGGGAGGAAGAGGAAGTGGCAGAGTTAAGGTTTTGAACCACAGTGGAAAATAATGTGAGGACGAGGAAGCAGAGAACTCCCAGGAGAGGCAAGGTGAGAGGACGAGAAGTAGCGTTTCTCGTAGGAGAAGGGTTTAGACAGCGCGGGGGACGACCTTGAACCCAGCCTGCCGCTGCCTCCACAGCTCTCCAGCAAGGAACTTCAGGGTCAGCCCCTGGAGTGGGACTGGGACGGCCGTGGGCACTCTGGCTCCGCTGCGTTTCTGAGACCGGAAGTCTGAAGGTGTCTCCGCTCCTGAAGGGATGGGGCAGGAAAAGGAAGAGTTTGCGAGCCCCAGGATAAGGGTGGAGCCAAAGGCATCCCGGAAATGAATTCCACCGCAGGGGAGGTGAAGGAGTAACCTCTGCTGAGTCAGCCCGTCCGGTGCTTCCTGCTGCAGTTGAGAAACGACCCACCATCCTGCCTGTCGTGAGCCGCTCCGACGCCTTTGAGAAAGATGGGGAAAATACTCCTCATCTCCAGGGACTGGGGATTGATGCAGCAATGGATCGGTACAAATAAACCTACTAAAGCAATGTGTGTGTCGGGGACAGGAGGCAGAAGCTGGCCAAGATGCCTGGAGCCCTTGGTGGAGTGCCTGGGCTGCCACGCCCTCCTCTGACTCCTGTGGCTCCAGCTTCCCATCAACGCAGAACTGGAAGGCAGCAGTGAAGCTCAAGTGGCGGTGTTCCTGCCACCCGTGTGGAGAGGCCTGAATTGAATTCCTGGCTCCCAGCTTCAGCCCCAGACTAGCCGCAGCCATTGTCAGGCATCTGAGAAGTGAATCAGCAGATGGGTGGTATCCTGTCCATGCTATCCATCATCTACCAATCTATCCATCTATCTACCAATCTATCCATCTATCTACCTATCTATCCATCTACCTATCTATCCATCTATCTACCTATCATCTATCCAAGGCCCCTTTTGTTGGAGACCACACATTGCCTCCAGTTTTGAAGAGCGTTGTGCCGGTTGAGGGAGAAGCATCTTCGAAATCACTGCTTCCCAAATGCGTCCCTGTGCCCATCTCCCTTGACCCCAAAGTGTGTCAGGAATGGGAACAAATCTGTCCCAAGCATGAGGACTATCAGTGACCTGAGGAGCCGTGAGAGGCCAGGGAAGCTTGGGTGACTTCCCAGAGCCGTCAGAGAAGCGCAGGATGGGTGGGTGAGGGAAGCGGCTGGGGCTTCACAGGTTAGTCCTTTGCCCGAGTGTTAATACCTAAACTGGAAATGAAATCCCCGCCCTGTAGACTGAAAGACAGGGAAGCATAACCAAGAAAAGCTATGTTGGGTATTGCGGGGTTTGAGACGCATGAAAAGGGTTTTGAAAGGATGAATTGTATGGTGAATGACCTAACCCCCCATGGTGATCGTTTGTGTACCCCGTAGAATATAGTGGGTAGCGGGAGGTGAATCCCGGAGTTGGGGAAGCAGGCACAGGTCCCTCAGGGGAAGTCATTGGTGCTCCTGTAGTTATTGTTTTAATTCCTTCCAAGCCAGACACATGAGACCAGACCTCATCCCACTCCCTGGGATGCCCACATGCCGTGTCATAATGCCTGGTTCAAGTGCTGGCTACTCCACTTCTGATTTAGCTCCCTACTGATGCACCTGGATGCAGCAGATCATGTGGGAGACCTGGCTGGAGTCCCAAGATCCTAGCTTCAGACTGGCCCAGACCCAGCTGTTGTGGGCCTTTAGGGAGGGAACCAGTGGATAGAAGATCTCTCTCTCCCTTTCAAATAAATAAATCATTTTTTTTAAAGTGGACATTCTTTGGGGATGATGCTGTGGAAGATGGCTCAAGTCCTTGGGCCCCTGCACCCAGGTGGGAGACCAGGAAGAAGCTCCTGGCTCCTGGCTTTGGACTGGCCCAGCCCCAGCCTTCATGGCCATTTGAGGATTGAACCAGTAGATGAAGACCTCTCTCTCTCTCTGTTTCTCTGTCTCTCTCTCTCTCCCTATTTCTATAACTCCGCCTTTCAAATAATTACGTAAATCTTAAACTAACTAAACAGATGTTGTCACCTTCAGAGCCGTCACTGTTAAAGCTGTCTGTTCCATTCTGGCTGATGCCTCAATTTTTGGTTTCAAGGTGAGGGGACACAGCTCAGTCCCAGTTGCCATCCATAGATCGGATTATTTTTGCACATCCATGGCACAGCTGGTCAGTCACTATCTAGCCGAAACCAGCTCAGGCCAGCTTGGTGGTGAAACCTCTGAAAACAACTTAAACAGTGGTTACAGGTGGGCATTTTGCATAGCAATCAAGACACCCAGCTCCACTTCTGATTCCAGCCAATTCCAACTTCCGCTAATGAACTCTGTGAGACAGCAGGGCCTGGTGAGCAGCTGGGTCTGCTCCACCCCCTTGAATGACCCAGGTCAGTTTCAGGCTCCTGGCTTGGCCCAGCCCTTGCTGTTGCCGGCATCTGGGGGGTAAGCCAGCCAAGGCATGGAAGATTTCGCTTTCTGTCTATCCCGGTCTCTCTGTCTTTCAAAATAAAATGAAAATAAATTAAAAAAAATTAATGTGAGATTTTATTTAAAAAGACAATTGCAGGGGCTGGTGCTGTGGCACAGCAGGTAAACCGCTGCCTGCAGTGCTGGCATTCCATATGGGTGCTGGTTCATGGCCCCGGCTGCTCCTCTTCCGATCTAGCTCTCTGCTGTGGCCTGAGAAAACGGTAGAAAATGACCCAAGTCCTTGGGCCCCTGCACCACGTGGAGACCTGGAAGGAGCTCCTGGATCCTGGCTTTCAACCAGCCCAGCTCTGGCCATTGTGGCTAGTTAGGGAGTGAACCAGTGGATGGAAGACTTCTCTCTTTCTGCCTCTGCCTCTCTGTAACTCTGCCTTTCAAATAAATAAATAAATAATTTTTAAAAGATTTTATTTATTTATTTATTTGAGAGGTAGAGTTACAGACAGTGAGAGGGAGAGACAGAGAGAAAGGTCTTCCTTCTGTTGGTTCACTCCCCAAATGGCTGTTATGGCCAGCACTGGGCTGGTTGAAAGCCAGGAGCCAGGAGCTTCTTCCAGGTCTCCACGTGGGTGCAGGGGCCCAAGCACTTGGGCCATCTTCTACTGCTTTCCCAGGCCACAGCAGAGAGCTGGATTGGAAGAGGAGCGGCCGAGACTAGAACTGGTGCCCATATGGGATGCCGGTGCCATAGGCAGAGGATTAACCCACTGTGCCACGGTGCCGGCCCCTAAATAAATCTTAAAAAAAAAAAAAAGGCAATTTCAGTAGACAGGACATTCAAGTCATAAGATCTAGAAGCATCTGAAAAGGCTGGGGGTGGGGTGGAAGGCATTTCTCTTCCCGAGAGGAATAAATAAGGCCAGAAAGAACTGCTTTCGGGTGGGGTGAGCAGGTGCGATCATCTGCACAGGAAGTGTTTTTCTTTGCAGTCCACTGCTCCTCAGAAGGGGACGTTGCCAAGGCTGTTCTGCATTCTGTATTGCTGAAGCTCAAGGATGCATTCAAGTTCAAGGGCCTGGAGGGAGGACAGAAGCCTGAATAAACTTTGGTCAAATCATGTTAGCTCATTTTTTGGGGTTATATTCTTTTCTGTTAATTTGTAGATTCATATCATTATTTGAATTTCATTTATGGGTGGTTATTTTGTGAGACCTTTGATATACGGGGAAAATATTCATAATACTACTAAGCATTAATTTCTTAATTAATTGTAATTTCCCACCAAATGTTGAAACTGTTGATTGTTTTCCCCTCATTGTTGGGGATGAAAGGTTTGACGTTCGTTGTACCAACGTGCTTTTGTAACTGACACTCTCCCTTCTCTTACCCTGAAATCTCTCTCTCTCTCTTTTAAAGATTTGTTTTATTTATTGAAAGACAGAGTTACAGAGAGAGGTAGAGAGAGAGAGAGAGAGAGGTCTTCCATCTGCTGGTTCACTCCCCAGATGGTCGCAATGGCCAGAGCTGTGCGGAACCGAAGCCAAGAGCCAGGAGCTTCCTCTGGGTCTCCCACGTGGGTACAGGGGTCCAAGGACCTGGCTCATCTTATACTGCTTTCCCAGACCACAGCAGAGAGCTGGATCGGAAGAGGAGCAGCCGGGAGTAGAACCGGTGCACATATGGGATGCCAGCGCCTCAGGCCAGGGCTTTAACCCGCTGTGCCGCAGCACTGGCCCCGAAATCTCCTAAGCACTGCCCTTTAGACTTGTCCAATCTACAATTTTACCGTCAGAGAGTTGAGTGGTTGACAGTTCAGTTATCATTATTATATTCAGCAGATTTTACAGTCTGAAACTTAGATCCTTGTTCACCATAGAATATATCTTCTGACAGTGTGGAAGACCTTTCTGTTTCTCTCTCTCACTGTCCACTCTGCCTGTCAAAAAAAAAAAAGAGAAAATATCTTCTGAAAAATGTTCTCTTCTTTGGCTTTTCTTTCTTCTTGGATCTCTATAATTAGATAAATTCTCAGATCTTTTTTTACAAAAGTGACCCCTCTTTCCCACCAGAAAAGACAGGAATTGATGTTGTCCAGTTTATTCTTCTAATATGTGAAAAGTCTTATTTACTTTTGATTTTTAAAAATTTTTAAGGTTTATTTATTTATTTGAAAGACAGAGTTAGCGAGAGGCAGAGTTGGAGAGAGAAAGAGAGTGGTCTTCCATCCGCTGGTTCACTCTCCAAATGACCACAACGGCTGGAGCTGCACTGATCTGAAGCCAGGAGCCAGGAGCATCTTCCAGGTCTCCCACGGGGTGCAGGGACCCAACGGCTTGGGCCATCGTCTGCTGCTTTCCCAGGCCATAGCAGAGAGCTGGATTGGAAGTGGAGCAGCCAGGACTAGAACTGGTGCCCATATGGGATGCCAGCACTGCAAGTGGTGGCTTTACACACCTACAGCGCCTGCCTCTTTTTAATTTTTTTAAGATTTATTTATTTATTTGAAACTTTGATTCTTAGCATGGCTCAGAATTTTACAAGGCCGGCGCCGCGGCTCACTAGGCTAATCCTCCGCCTGCGGCACCGGCACACCAGGTTCTAGTCCTGGTCGGGGTGCTGGATTCTGTCCCGTTGCCCCTCTTCCAGGCCAGCTCTCTGCTGTGGCCAGGGAGTGCAGTGGAGCATGGCCCAAGTGCTTGGGCCCTGCACCCCATGGGAGACCAGATAAGTACCTGGCTCCTGGCTCCATGGCGGCCATTGGAGGGTGAGCCAACGGCAAAAGGAAAACCTTTCTCTCTGTCTCTCTCTCTCTCTCTCACTGTCCACTCTGCCTGTCAAAAAAATAAAAAACAATAATAAAAAAAATTTTACAATATTTCTTAAATCCAATCTTTAAAAATGGGACACCATTTTTACCATGTTAAATTTCTATTATTTTATTATTCACCTATTAATATAAATGTCACTTTTTCATAATTCTTTCATTCCCATGGCTTTGTTTCTTTGAATTTCATATTCACATGCAACTCAATTTCACTTTTTCAATCATTATCACTTCATAATATTATGCTAGGAAAGATAAGGGTTTTCTTCATGATTCATTCTTTTCAAAGTATTATGATCTCCATCTCAAATATTTAATTACTATTTCCATTAAATGTAGAAGTTCCCTTTCAAGTATCAAAACACAGCTCCCATGTGGATGTCTAGCCTAGGGTCAGCACACCCACGTCCCACATCGGAGTACCCCGATTCCAGTCCCTGGCTCTGGATCCCGACGCTGGCTTCCTACCAACACAGATCCTGGAAGGTGCTTGTAATGGCTAAAGTAACTGGGCTCCTGACCCCACACCAGAGAGCTGGAACCAGCACCACTTTGGCCATGTTGAACATTTCTTTTGGGGCCGGCGCCGTGGCTCAATAGGCTAATCCTCCATCTGCGGCGCCGGCACACCGGGTTCTAGTCCCGGTCGGGTCGCTGGATTCTGTCCCGGTTGCCCCTCTTCCAGTCCAGCTCTTTGCTGTCGCCCGGGCTTTGGATCGTCATGGTGTGCTAGCCACAACGCGGTGGCCACTGTGGGATGAACCAACGGAAAAGGAAGACTTTCTCTCTGTGTCTCTCTCTCACTGCTCTCTCTGCATTTTCTTTCTCTTTTTGGTCTACCTCTATATTTTATAGAACCCAGACTAAAGTCCACGTGTGTTTGTGTCTTGTCTAGTTTTCAACACGTTTGCATGTCCCCTACGTTAACGCACCCAGGAGATGAAGACCTGTGTCTCCAGAGTCAGGCTCAAGTTCCACTTCTGGTTTAGCTGCCTACTCGCTTGTCTTGGACTCCAAACGCCTCATGACACACAGCCTTGCTGTGAGCTTTAATGAGAAAATAAGACAACCTAGTAACAAGTACCCAAGGTGTCTGTTTTATGGTGGGAGCTTTTCTTGTGCCGCTCCTTTTGTTTACCACTGGACACAGGGCCATCCATGCCACGAAAGCTGGGCAGAGCAGAGAGCCAGTTCTAGACCTCTGGCTGTGAGGGTCTGGTTCCCTGAAACCACTCGTGGTACCAAGAACCGTCTCCCAGCTGCGGCTCAGTCAGGGACATGGAGCCACTGTGGTGTTCCAAGACAAGTGCTTTACTTAGGAGTTTGACTCCTAACTTCGGGAGTTTGACTGCAAAAAAAAAAAAAAAAAAATCTGAAGATTTGGGTTCTGCTTTCAGACTCATCATTCACTTGGCCCTCTAAGCTTTCGGCTCCTCCTACTCCAGACACAGATGGTTGCAGCTTCCCCCGGGGCTGCTGGGAGCATTCATTGGAATGTATATGCCAGAGAACAGCTTGTAAATTCTAAAGTGCTAGAGAAAGTTTACTATTACTGTTAGACCCTCAGAGTGAGGATGCTAACACATCGAGAGGCCACACCCCAAAGACTCAGAGTCCAGATGCAAAAGCAAGAGGATTTATTCGGCGTCTGCGCTGACGGGCCTCCTGAACTCGGGAGTCCAGAGAGCGCACCCAGCACAGAGCCACACGGTTTATATACCCGCAGCGACCAATCCGTGAAGCTGATCATGTGAAAGGCATGCGCCTTCTGTCCAATCAGTGAGCTGATCATGTGAAGGCATGCGCCTTCTGTCCAATCAGTGAGCTGATCATGTGAAAGGCATGTGTCCTCTATCCAATCAGTGAGCTGATCATGTGAAAGGCATGAGTCCTCCATCCAATCAGTGAGCTGATCATGTGAAGGGCATGCGTCCTCTATCCAGTCAGCTACGGGATCACATGGGAGGCATGCCCCTCATCGCCATTTTGTTGTTTACTTCTTCAGCAGTTCCTTTCCCTGCCAGCGCCATCTTATTCACCCTGAGTGGGGACGACGTCTCGCTCCCTTTGTTCCCCTTGTGGGAGAGCAGGTCCCGCTTCCCACACCGTTATCTGAGTATTAGGAGGCATACAAAATAGGTTAGGTCTTAGCACAGCCAGGCGCAAGTGTCTCAGCTAGCTAAGCATAGGGTCCCTTATTTTATAGCTGCACCTAATTTTAGCTTTGGGGAAAAAGTTTAGGGCTATAATTTTTAAACTTTAATTTTATTTGGGGCAAAGGTGACTTCTTATTTTTAATAGCGTTAGCTTAAGTCACTCCATCTTGGTTTGATTTTAAGGTTCTTCATTACCAGTTCCTATGAGACTCTCAGATTAAAAGGTCGATGTCCAGATATCCCCCAAACAAACAAGACGCTGCTTCAACTTCTGGGCAGACGCAGCAGGCTCGTTAAAGATAACCGAGACCCAGAGGAAGTCGTGTCCTACTGGAGACGCAGCTGCGAGACAGCAGGCGGCTGGACAGTGCTAGAGGAAAACAGACGGGTACCTGGGGACGAGGCAAGGGCTACTGGGCCAGGCGCGCGGCGCCGAGGCGAGACGCAGCTCGGGGTGCCTCCGTCTTCCATCAGAGGGCCCAGGTTTCAGTCCCAGCTCCACTTCTAACGTGCACCCTGGGAGACAGGAGGGGACGGCTTGAGTGGATGGGATCCGGCACCCATGGGGGAGGCCCAGATCGGGTTCCTGGTCCCCAACTTCGCCGGTCCGGTCCTAGCTGGCCAGTGCAGGCATCTGGGGAGTATCAGCAATGGGAGTGTCTCCTCTCTCGCGCTCTGTCTTGACTTTTATTCCCTCCTGGTGAGCGAGCTCTTTCTCTGTGCACAGGGCTAATCAATCACCCTAAGCCAGGTTCCACCTGTCCCTCATTGTCAGGTTGGAGCCCACCCCACGCCCACGCCGGGAGGGGAATTGTTCCCCGTCAGAACTCAGTGTCAAACGCCTTTCAGCCACGTTTGAGGAGCGAAGAGGTTTTAGAACGCGCAGTCCTGGGGCTAACTTTGCCACTGTTAAACTTAGCCATCTCTGCTCCTAGGCCGGAGTCACTATCCCAAAGAGTCAGACCGGCGTTGTCTTTTTGGGAATTGTACTTCTGTAGAATTCTGACAGGCAATGGGCACAAAGCTCAAAAAGGGGGGGGAGAGATATATTTATATGTATATACACACACACACGCGTGTGTGTATGTGTGTATAATAAAAGTGATAAGAACATCCAAGGTAGCAAGCCGAAAAGCAATAAACAAAGTCATACTCTAAAGGCACGTGATGTGTAGTTTGTTGACTGATTATTTGTATTAAACATAATAATAAAATCTGCTTTTTTTAAGATTTATTTATTTGAAAGTCAGAGTTACACAGAGAGAGAAGGAGAGGCAGAGAGAGAGAGAGATCTTCCACCCACTGGTTCACTCCCCAATTGGCCACAACGCCCAGAGCTGGGCCGGTCCAAAGCCAGGAGCCAGGAGCTTCTTCCAGGTCTCCCACACAGGTGCAGGGGCTCGAGGCGTGGGCCATCTTCTACTGCTTTCACAGGCCATAGCAGAGAGTTGGATTGGAAGTGGAGCAGCTGGGACTTGAGCCAGCACCCATATGGGAGCCGGCACCGCAGGAGGTGGCTTTACCTGCTAGGCCACAGTACTGGCCCCAAGCTGCTTTACATATAATATCCTATTTAGAAAACTCTAACTTAAAAAGCCCATTGAAGGCAGAGGTAGATTTATTTTTAAAGATTTATGTCTTCATTTGAAAGGAAAGTTACACAAACAGAGGGAGAGAGAGAGGTCTTCCATCCCCTGGTTCACTCCTCAAATGGCCACAGAAGCTGAGGCTGAGCCAGGCTGGAGCCAGGAGCCTGGGACTTCGTCCAGATCTCCCACACGGGTGCAGGGGCCCAAGCACGTGGGCCAACTTCCGCTGCACACAAATGTATCGAGCCAATGTTCTGGAAGTTTCCTCTGTCTGGGACTCAGCAGCCCAGTCTTCCTTGCGCGATGTTTGGATTAAGTTGACACGGTTTGCAGTGAAAATGTCCTGGGTGGAGACAAAAAGAACAGAGGCGAATTGAAGACAGCCGTTGTGGGGGAGACCTGGATTTTCACAAAATGTGGAAGCAGCGGGAGCAGGGGCAGGGAGACCAGGCAGGGCGAGACACCTGGGCCCCTCCCGGCAAAGCTGGGCCAGACCTCTGCAGATTTCCAAAGTCAAGGAGCGTGACTGGCCCCCCGACAGGGGATGGGGCCGGAGCTGGCAGAAGCAGCGCAAATGAGAGAAAGTTCCCGGCCTGGAGGGAAACGTCTCTTCCTGCCCCGGGAAAAGCAGGTGCATCCTGAGGAAGTCACAGGTTTTTACAAAACCGGGGCTCAGCCTGGCGGGTGGGGTGGGGGTTGGGGTGTGTGTGGCAGGGATCTGTGACACTCGGGGGTGGAGAGCGTGGTGCAGCTTTTCCGGATCCCGCTGGGACCTGACTCGGGAGGTGGCAGGGTGGGTGCCCAGCCGGGTCCTGTCTGAATCTGGAAAAGCCGCGGGGAGCCCTTCTGTGTGGCTGCTTGTGTTGCTCACAGTGTGTGGCCTGAGTTCCGGGATGAGCCTGGAGAGAGGGAGAGGGAGAGGGAGAAGAGGGAGAGGGAGAGGGAGAGGGAGAGGGAGAGGGAGAGGGAGAGGGAGAGGGAGAGGGAGAGGGAGAGGGAGAGAGAGAGAGAATGAATGTCCTCCTTTTGGGGCCTGCGTTGTGGTGCAGCGGATTAAGGCCGCCACCCGTGACGCCGGGCATCCTCTATGGGTGCTGGTTCAAGCCCCAGCTGATCTGTTTCCCATCCAGCTCCCTACCAGGAATCGTGGCATAGCAGGTGCCCTCCGTAGGAGTAGCTTTAAACACCGGTCCCTTGTGAGCTCAGGCTGTGGGTGAGGGGCCAGGCAGGCGGGCCTGGGCTCTGCTCAGGTCTGTACAAGGTGCCCACCAGCTGGGCTCCAGGGAGAAGACTGCAAACCTCTGGTTATCACCCCAGGGTACTTCGGGAAGCTCATGGCAAATGGAATCCAAAGACATCCATGACAAAAGTTCATGTGAAATGCATGTCATGAAAAAACCAGGCATGGATTTCAAATTTTTTTTTTCTGCCGCTACAAAAACTCATTTCTTAATGCCGTGTTTTCCTCGAACTTTTTGAAGTCCTCGGGGTCTTGGTAGAGAGGGCTTCTGAGGTCAGCTCTTGTGCTCCGCTACGCACTGCTAGGAGGGTTCCGACCAGCAGAGGGCGCAAGGGCCACAGTCCGGGCGCAGAGCGGCCAAGGCCGTGTCCAGCCTTCCGTGCCCCAGCACCGCTGGGCGCCGGCCGCAGAGCAGCTCCCTCGCCGCCATCGACGGAGAGTCGGCCTTCGGCGCTGGGCTTGTAAAACGTAGACAAAGGAGAGGCAGACCTGCTGGAACGCAGGAGAGCTCTGGGGACTCCAGGCTTTGGGGGAGGCAGGGCAGCAGTTAAGCCGTCATCCCATACTGGAGCTCCAGTTCAAGCCCCAGCAGCTCTGCCTCTGACCAGCTCCCAGCGCACCCACCGGGGAAGGCGACGGAAGATGGCCCAAGTGCTTGGCCCCCTGCCACCCACGTGGGAGACCCAGATGGAGTTCCTGGCTCCCGGCTTCTGCCTGACCCAACCATTGTGGCCGTTTGGCGGAGTGAACCAGAGGAGGGAAGATCTCTTTCTCTTTTCCTCGCTGACCCTCTGCCTTTCGAATAAATAAAATATAAACATTTGAAAACCAATAAAGAAACTGGATGGAAAGCAGAGGGGCTGAGATGTCGGGGGGACTTGCAGCGTCGGAACAAGAAGCCACTTCCCTGCACGGTGGCAATAGGCAGCGGGGACAGCTCTTCCCCCGGGTTGGGGTCTGTTTCTGCGGTCTCGTCTGTCTGCAGCCTGCTGCCGTCTCCAACCCACGCTGAGGTTTTGCATGGCAGGTCTGGGAGCCCCGTGCCTTCCCAGCAGAGGTCGGCTGCCTCACTTGATTTCTCATTTGTGAAAGCAGATTCGCTAGAAGTAAGCGCTCCGCCCGGGCCAGCAGCAGCAGTGCCCATCTCGGGCCTCGTGAGTTGCTGGAAGGCGCAGCAGCTCTGGCACTTCACGCAAACATCTGCGGAGTGAATGGAAGGATGACACGTGAAGAAAAGGGGTTTGCAAAGTTAGATCTGAGAGCGGAAGAACAGGCGGGCGTGCGGGTGCTGTGATGGGCCGTGGCTCCCTCCTCTGACCCGAGAGCCGCACAAAGAGAGGCACCGTGAGCACCGGGAGAGAGCTGCTGTGGTCCTGTCAAACAATGGCCAGCCCGCCTGCACCCCAGCCCCCTTCCTGCTCCTCTCTAGGGTACGACCCTCCTCGGGTTGCTCCCAAGCAGATTCAACAAACTGAAGATGGAAAATATTTGCAAAAAAAGGAAACAATTGTGTGAGTACTGAACATGTGCAGACTTTGTTCCTTGTCATCAGTCCCTAAACAATCCAGTGTGACACCGTTTAGACCCCATCGACATTAACTGAAAGTGATCTAGAGACAATTTAAAATACGCAGGAAGGGGGCCGGCACTGGTGGTGTAGCGGGTAAAGCCGACGCCTGCAGTGCCAGCATCCCAGATGGGCGCCGTTCCAAATAGGATATTATATGTAAAGCAGCTTAGGGCCGGTGCTGTGGTGTGGCGGGTTAAAGCTGCCGCCTGCAGTGCCGGCGTCCCATATGGGTGCCGGTTCGCGTCCCGGCTGCTCCACTTCTGATCCAGCTCTCTGCTGTGGCCTGAGAAAGCACTGGAAGATGGCCCAAGTGCTTGGGCCCCTACACCCACGTGGGAGACCCGGAAGAAGCTCCTGGCTCCTGGCTTCGGATCAGCACAGCTCCGGCCATTGCAGCCATCTGGGGAGTGAACCAGCGGATGGAAGACTTTCTCTCTCTCTCTCTCTCTCTGCCTCTGCCTCTCTGTAACTCTTTCAAACAAACAAATAAATCTTAAAACTGGTTTCTCAAGCACTGTTTCTGTTTGTCTGCACCCTCCCCCGCCCCCGCCTGTGAGTCATGTGGGACGATGCCATCTCCAGCGAGTCATGTGGAAGGATTCCGTCTCCAGACCCTGCCCGGACTGCTCCCGTCGCCTGGCTCCCTGAAGCCAGCAGGGCAGCTCCTAACGCAGGACTCCTTCAGCAGCCTGCGTGTGGGGTCCACTCCCTCCCTCCCCTTTTACCCCTGTGGGCGAAGAACTATCTTCCAGGGGCTTCCGGAGAGGCAGCGCTTGGGAGGCTTTTTTTTTTTTTTTGAGCCGCTGTTGGTCTGCAATGTCTAATCCTGTTTCCACTTGATGATGGTTTGAGAGAATTCTGGTTCCACAGTATTTTTGCCAGAGCATCCAATGCCTTTCTTTATTTCTTTCTCTTTCTTTTTTTTTTTAAGATTTATTTATT